AAAAAGAGTTTTTATTGTAACAGTTGATGGTACCTATCTGTGGGGTGCAGAGTTGAATATCAATTCCTGTGTGCAACATGTGATGAGAAGGAATCTTAAATACACTATGTTAAGTGAAAAGAGCCAGAATCAAAAGTCTGTATCTTTTATGGTTCCATTTATTTGACATTCTGGAGAAAGCAATACTATAGGGATAAAAAACATATTAGTGATTGCCAGGGAGTGAGAGAAAGGATCAAATACAAAGACAGAGGAGGGAAGTTTTTGGGGGGATACTGATTGTGGAAGTGGTTATTTGACTGTATGTGTTTGTCAAAACTCATAGAACTGTAGATTAAAAAATGAAAACTGTTAATGTATGTAAATTATACCTGAATAAACAGGACTTTTTTTTTTTTTTTTTTTTTTTAAAGAGCTAGTTGCTTGGAAATGGTCTGCAAAGCAAAATTTTCACAGGGCCAGCATTATTCCTGTAACAGGGGCCAACAAAAACAATTTCTCCATGAGTGCCTTGGTAGTTTGTGCTGAGCTAGAATGAGGTAATTATTATTATTATTATTTAATTTATAATTTATTTAACTAAACATCTATTGTGCCTTTCAAATGTTGGAGGGATGAGAAAAGAACAAGATCCAGCTCCTATTTACAATGGGCTCACAATCTAGTGAGAAGGGGTCAAAAAAGACAAGGATACTATAACATGCCTATTTGATAATAAAGAATGAGCACGTATTAGACTCTTCACACATTACACCACTAAAAGCACAAAGTAAGCGTTATGAATAACACTGCACCCCTTGATACTTAACTAGCAGTAGAAGGACGGTAGTAAGTATCCTGTTAGCTAGTATCTATTGACTGCTTAGTATGTGAGAGGTGCTATTTTCAACACCCATATTAGCCTCTCAAAAATGGTACAGAGCCTGAGGCCACACAACTGATAAAGGACAATAAGGAAATTTAACCCCAAGCAAGATGGCTATCTCCTAACCATAACACGATACTATAGCTAGAGAGAAATAGTGACCTGGGTCATCTCAACTTCTGAATTCTGGAACTGGTTGCTGTAATGCTGGCTCAGTTTTCCCAACATCACAGGAGAAAGTCAACCATGTGCAGAGAGGTCAAGTATGTAAAACTCTGCTTAAGACATGAGGATGAACCCTTTTTCTTTTCGTGCTCCTTTCTGTGTTTACCATTTACCCACCCCTCTGTTACTAAAGCAATACTTAAATATGAGTATTGTAGAAAATGAAAGTGGGAAAAAAGACAAACAACAAAAAACCCGAATCAAACAAAAAAACCCCTTCATCCATAGTCTTACATGCAGAAGTAAGCACTGCTCACATTTTGGCACATTTCCTTCTAGTCTTTTTAAAAATGTCTTTTATTTACATAGCTGAGATCATACAGAAATGTAATTTTGGATCCTGCTTTTTTTTTTCATTTAACATCACAGCATAAACTCTCATCATTTTAAGTGGCTGCATAGTGATTCATCATATGGATATTCTATAATTTATGAACTGTTCTGCCACATTGGATATTTAGGTTGTTTTAAATATTTTCACTATTACAAATAACACCGCTATGAACATTCTAGTCCATAAATCTGTGTGTGCATTGCAGATTATTATTTCAGGATAGTTTCCCAGAAATGTTATTGCTCTGTTAAATGTGAGGAATATTTTAAAGATTATGTGGAGATGTAGTATTCTTTATAAATAACAAATACATTCTTTACAAATACATGGAGAGGTTTCCAGGAGGTCAAATGTATAGATACTTGTTCCTGTACACAAGTTTGGAGGAGGGATGGGACAAAACAGAATTGGGAACTTTCTGATAGCTTGGTCATGCATTAACCACTGGACTTTTTCTCTTGTGAGCTACATCCAAACTTTCAGGGCTACATGCAGATTGAATATTGATCAATTGAGTACAAGAAAATGGAAGGGAATTTC